GTGGCATATGGGGGCAAATAAAGTCCAAAAGATAGCATAGTTACTAAGTGCATTGGAGTCTTTCATCCTCTTCATAACCATTCCCACATGTATTCATAAACTCTCTCTAGCACTCTTCTTTTCAAGTTCTTTCAAGGTCTTCCTTTCAGAAAAATTCTTATGTGCGGCTTGGCGAGCTCTCCCATACTCACCAATACTGGTCGAGTTAGCTTTTGGAGAGACCCCACTGTTGAGAGTATGAATCACACATCGGAGAAAGAATTGATCTTTCATCTGCTTATAAGTAATTGGGTTACTTCTGATACTGCCAATTTGTTGTCTCATATGTGAAGCTCATCGACCACACGTGCTCCACGTTACCTGATTTGTCTTTTTTACGTTCTAGACTTGAGAATTCGCCACATGTGACGGGGCACACTGACAAAAGAGTTTCCTTCCATTTGCTTATAAGTAATTTATTCTCCATATTGTCAATTGGTTTTATGATAGAATCTCAACTTTCTTCACCCACCCCTTACCCCTTATGAGTGTGTTATAGCCGCCGGAGGGCACAAGTTTTCTTCGTTTGAATTAGAAATCAAATCTTGTTAACGCATGTTTTTCTTTGCATAATCTTGATATTAGGTAATCTCTATCATCTTCCAAATAGTAATGTTTAGCTGGAGTATGCGCTAAATCTGAAGAAATATTAATGTAATTTATCTTAACATTTTGGTTAACCAACCGGTTAACTTTTAAGTTAGGAACATCCTTCTGTGTACTTATCAACTGAGTTTTATTTTGTTGATCTGTTTGAAAAGTCAAAAGTAAAGTTAATTGGTGTGAATGTAAAATTAGTTTCTGGCTTTGTTTTATGCAGTATGCAGGCAGACAGAAAAAATGGTATCAATTCGAGGTTCGCTTATTTATGCTGAATGACTATTTACATGAAATACTAATGATAATCGCATTGTTTTAAGAAAATCACATAAACATCCTTTCCTTGCATTGATTTTGCTTTTCAAATCTTAAATCTCTCACAAAATTTAACTTCTTCAATTAATAATTATGATACAATCACTAAGCAGTTGATCGATATTCCGGCCGTCGATGGATATGAAAGATCTTCATAGCTCTAGCACCACAACTGTTCAAGCAAAATCATAATTCCAGGGTTAATTAGTTGAATATATAGAGTATTAGCAATATAAATTTCAAGTTATTAACAAAAAAAGAAATGATTAAGCAGAAACTGTAGGAGGAAGCATGTGTTACATTCTGAGTCCGAGGTGATCCAGTTCCCTTTCTTGGGTTCCAAGTGATCCGGGTCTTGAAACTTTGTCGAATTCAAAGATGGAAGGCTTATGATTTGGTCATTCTTGAGTGAAGATGCTGTTGAAAGCGCTGTATAGGCAGAGGAAGTGGTGGAGTTGCTCTCCAAATCCCATCTGAAGCTGATCTTCGGCGAGTCGTTGCTTAGTTGATCGTCATCTGGTACCGCTTTCAGAGTTCCCCGGTTTCGAAATTGCTTAACCTGGGTGGAACAACACAATTTAAGTCTCAACCACAAACGATATCAATCATAGATCGGCATATGTTACTTTTAAGACTCAGCGAGCACGTTATGAGAAACCTGGAGTTAAGTATGCTATTTCGGCATGATTTAGGACCAATTAAAATATGTAACTTTGATTTCCACCAGGAGGTAACAAACATTCACTCTAGTTGCATTGTGTGGTAGTAAGTTTGAACATTAATCACTAGAGAAGGCCACAAGAGCAACATATGGCTGGCTGCATAACCATTACTGTTGTGGACCTGCTTCTCTCATATTATATATCAATAGGTTCATGCAGTACAAAATATAAGAAAAATAAAAAACTAAAACTAAAAACTAAATGGTTATCAATGAATTTTAACTGAACAAAAATTTAGAATTGTACCTTTCGAGCGATGAATTTTCCACCCTTGTCTGATTTTGCAGCAGCTGCCCATCTCAGAAGCTCCTTCATTCTTGAAAGGGTTTTGGTTTTGTCCCCTTTCAACTGTTCTTTCTTCTCCGGTAAGCCACATTGTTCGTTTGTGCTCGTCAAGGTTGATAACGTTGAATCATTCACCGGTAAAACCTTGTTGCTTACATTCACCGAATCCGCCTTGGTGCTACTGATTCCCAGACCTTTTGCAATATCTTCTTTCTTCATGATCTTCATAGATTGAATCCAATGCTGCCTTGCCTGCCTTCTGTTTATGCTATTAAGTCTCTTTAACTGAAGAGTGCTATTAAAGCAAGGTGTTGCGACAACTTTTCGACATAGAAAGGTAAACGGCTTGAACTTCTTGCTACCTGATTTGCTTTCTTCAACTCCTTTTGATGATTTTTGATAAACACCGACGCTGCCACGCCTGAAGAGGATTATGTAATTTGGTTTAGCTTCTTGATCTGAAAACGAAGATAGAAAGTTCATAAATTGGTTAGTAAAAAAAATATGTCCTAATGTTAAAGGTCAAAACTCGCTTTCATAGCCGGAAAACACTTAAAACATCATTTTGATCAAAGAAACAAAACATGAACCCAACTGTTATTCCAACCGACTATTATCTTAAAACATTTCTCACTAACATTAACAATTACCAGCGAAACTGCACCGAATAAGTATATCGAGTTTGATCTCTTACCATTAGTTGTTGCGTTCTTGTTGGAAGAACTAGAAATCTCCTCCCTTTCTTGTCCAACTTTAGCTCCAAATAGCCATTGAAGAAGCTGCTATGTTTATAAGAGAGATCAGTTTTGGTACAAAAATGCTATGTCTTTGCGTTGACATATACAAATATTTACACTCTTTTTTTACCTGCATGGTTATCGCTTGTATTTGGATCCTCCTTTATATAATGCTTGTGAGTTGTGAGGAGTGACCAGTGAGAAGTAGATGGAGGAGTGAGAAAGTTGATGACTGTTTTCTGGTCAAATGGACAGCACAGAGAGATCTGCATATGCTGTCTGCATGCTCAAGATTCCTGTGTATGGTTTGGGACCTTTTGGAGAAGAAGACAAATGAAATTAGAAGTGAATCTACAGAAAAAATAATAATAGTGAGAGACAACTAAGCAATGAGTGGGGGAAGGATTGGATCAATGGCTTGGGATTCTTTTGTAACATGGGGGAAAAATATATATAAGATGATCATGTGGTGGTTAAGTAAAGGATTTAATTTAATTAAGAACCCAAATGTGTTTAGCTTTGGTGGCTTTTGTTTTAGCCTTACACTTGTTCGTCCATGGTTCATCACTCCCATTTGGTCCCCCTTTATATATTACCCCCACAAAGTTACTTAGTCTAAGATTTACACTTGTGTTAATCTACGGAAAAGAGAGTTCGAAAAAGAGAGGACGAGCATATTGCCCTGATTAACTGGTCGAATCCACACCTGTAAATAATAATCTACTCTACTTAACTCAGTTTTGGGAGTGGGGTAAAAATGAAGCTCCAACAAATAGTTGGCATAGAAGACCAATTATTGCAAGGTTTATTAAGATAACAATTTGTCCTTGCAACTTGACTTGCAAGCAGGAGGACACAAAAATGGATTATATATTCACATTAATATTAAAGACTAGAATTAGATCAAACAAAAGAAAGAAGGGGTGGAGAATTGGGAAAACCATGTTCCCTAACACATTAGAAATGCATATTAAAAAAATACGTGACAAATTAAGGAAGAAAAGGGTCATCACCGTCTTCCAGATTCCATAACATTTTCAGTATTTTGGCCAGTTGGGTATGACTACATTTCCGAACTATTTCCGAACTACACATACACCTACATTTCGAGGTAACCTTCGTTGACGAACGGTTTTTGATTTTGATGAATGTTTACGAGAAGGAAGGTTCGGATACTAGAATTACATCATTGAAGTCGATGAAAATGAATAATTAGCGTTGTGCTGACTTACTAACTGATTAGAGCTAAATGATTAAGGCTAACACTGTTTATCTATATCCATATACGCACACATAATTGTTCCTATGCGTAAAATTAAATTAATATTGAATTTACATGTTGCTTGAGTTGAGCATGTGGGAAGGAGATATTTTGGGGCTGTGTCAGTTATACTAACTTAGTGCTTGCAAGAACTTGGTGTGCTTCACATGGGGAAGAGTTGAGAACATATGCAGATATGCTCTCATAACTATTTTTTTCATTACTTTTAAGTAAAAACTAAGTTTGGGGATTCTTTCGTGTAATTAGCTGTATATTCCTCACTCTATTTCTCACATCATGTGAATGGTTGCTTAATGTGCAAGATGAGGAGAGTGGAATGAGAGCGGAATTATACAACCGGGTATACTCTAGATTTTGCCCTAAACTAGAGGCCTAGAGGCCTTGCTTGTGGAGATTTCGTCTGTCTGAGCTTCTTTGCCCTTTCATTTTCATTGGGATTTGATGGGAAAACGTTAGCTCCCCTGAACTTGTGGCAGCAACTGCATCTGCAACTCACACTAATCTCCACCATTGAAGCAGATAAAATCAAGAGCTGAGATTGTGGGAATTAGATTGTACACGACATTCTTGATGAACACTCGGGGCAAGGAAGAGTGATGTGGCTCAAGCTCCTCTTAACTTTAGACCTTAGTATTTGGTTCCGCAAGAAATGCAAAGTGCCGGGAAGGAATAAGTTGCTCTCAATAATCCTGTCACTGTTTCCTCATTCATATCAAATTCTGCTTGCCTCTCTTGGTTGTAACACCATCCACGTTCTCTCACAAGCTTTCACAACTCTCAGCAACCCGAACACGAGGAAGTTTTCGAGTGTGACAGCTTTGACAAGCTTTCACAACGCTCAGCAACACGAACACGAGAAAGTTTTCTGAGCGTGACAGTTTTGACGGGGTCATTCTTTCCTTTGGACGACACTGTAGAATTAGCCGCACTCGGGGTGATTAAGTTCCCCAGTCGACAATCTTTGAATGAGAATCAAAAGCTTAATACAACGTCGAAACGAATGAACACATCACACTTGGCTAGTTTGAAAGTTTCAATCCTTTATACAAACTGGAATTTCGTTGATGCATAAGCTATTTACATTTCAATACAAACAATGTCTAATGTTATTTATAAATAAGCATAGAGTAGAACTGACTTCAACTTCATAACCACATCATGCATGTACAGGATAGCTTTGGCCTCGTGTTGGCCAGAAAGTGAAAGAGTTATGGCTCAACTTCCGTTGGCAGCCACTGCATGTTTGAAAGAGAGGACTCGGGCTGCTAGACGAGAACCAGAGGCTCATTCCTCCCACCGGTAAAGAGAACACGGGTTTGAGAGAATCCCATTCAAATTAGCACCGCCATTGTCTCACAACGATCAGCTTGATCTTTTTCAAGACTCTTCTAAGTTCTAACAAGCTGATGCGATTCTTAAACCGCAGTTCTTGGAGCAGGCGGTCTCATCTGACGGATTTTCTGCAGTTACTGGAACAACAATTGTCAAAGACACCAATGGAGTCAACTAAAGGCAATCTGATAAACAAATCCAGTATACATCAATTTTCGGTCAAGGAACTGTAAATTTTACCAGATAAAAAGAGCACTTCTCATGGTCGATCCTCATCGGACCTTGAGCGTGTCAAACGTCGACGCCTTCTGGGGATTGGAGACAAATCTCTGTGATTAGTCATGGGCATGTTGTCATCATCATCGTCCTCATCATCATCCTCATCATCCTCATCATCATCATCTTGAAGTCCCAACAAATTCTCACCCCAAAGAAACCGGCGTTCATTTAAAGCACCTGCTGACCGCCGATGTCTTGTCCAAGCCCTTGATCGAGCCCTTGGTTCTCCAGCACGGTCAGCTGAGCCAATCATCTGAAACAAAAACAGGGTAGTCCACCAAGGCCCATTAGCTTCACCTGCACCACTTTCCCCTCCACCTGGTAGCCTATCTCCATTTTCAATAACATAGTCCCCAACCACAACAGCACCTGGCATGGCTGAATGAATAGCACTCACAACATCACCAAATTCTCTCTGGTGCTCAAGGTGTCGCCAGGCTCGTTCTCTAGACGGGTCAATGTCAGAGGGTCTGGTGGTTGGGTGAACTCTCCTGGCATGCCGGCGCAACTCCTGGTAGTTACCAGAAAATGAGCATGATTCCCGAGAGCAACTTCGCTTCTTCAGGTTAAGATATTTTCTGGCATCTTCTACAACCTCCCATCCAAGAATGGCTCCTCGGCACATAGGGCATTTCAAGCTCAATTGTGACTCCGGTGAATTTTCCCCATCCAAATCATCATGTTCATCCCTTTCCTGAAATGACTCAGAATCAACCACTTCCATAACACCTTCTGGTTGTGCTTCAAAAGGCCTATTTAAATCTTGAATAACATGTTGCTGTGGAGGTCCAGGTAAATTAACAGATAATACAGAATTGTTTTCAATCAGGTTGTCACTTTCATTAGCTTCATTTGAGTCTGTTCTCAGAGGGATGTTCAGATCAGAAATACGAGGACCGTAACGGTTTATAGGGAAAGGACTGGGTAGAGTTGGACTGTTCCTAGTATTTTCTCTCATCTTTTTAAAACGGTCCAAACAATTTGAATGCCTGTAACTTGTATCACATATATAAGATCTGCAACCCTTATCATGCGAGCTGCAAAGCAGGAGAACGGCATTATGCGGATGGTCCATGCAGATAGGGCATGAAACGGCATCCAGTTCTTTATTAAGAGCACGAATATCTGAATCAGTATCTAATCTTCGTTTCACACCAGCCATCTTGCAAACACTGTTCGATTTACTAAGCAAGTTAAAGTTATTACTACATAAGTACTATCATGCATAATCAATGTTCATCAATTAGATAAGCAGGGGTAAAACACTACAGTCATGTTGTATACAGCAGCAATTTATTCTCTTATCACATAAAAACAATAGACGAATCGATGTTGAATGCGAAGGGTACAAATGTTTTATGGTACATGTTTCTGTATAATGTTTCACATTATCCCTTCCCCATCCAATTCACATAAAAATATGTTTTCAAATCAAGAGTAAGAATCAACTTTTGAACCGCTGCCAATTTCAATTTGACTAGTGGGAAGATAAGAACCTACCCAAAATCTAGGTCCATAACATCGTACAAAAGAAAGTTCAATCGGGTTCCAAGTTCATTAAAGAATGCAATCAGTCTAATACAAAAGAAGAACAGTCAGCTACCACGAAGGGTTTATCAAATTATTACTGCCAGAACTGTAATTCCTTTGTTCCCAAGAAACTTAACATTACGTGCAATCAGAATAATTACCTATCCAGACAAACACCCCTAATATAACACACATGATTTGAAATACATCAGATATATAAAGGATCATTGAACTACATATACACTTACCAAAAGGCAAAGCTCTAAATAAATTCCCTACTTGGGCTTCTGATGTCTACTGCTTTACCAACTGAAAAATACCGAATCTTTACTTGATTCTAACAGAAATCAGATGCAACCACTTGTCTCTAACAGAAATCAGAATGCAACCACTCTTACAAATGCTCCAAAATGTGATACAAACAATGCAGCGACTGGACAACGGCACAGAGCTTCAAGGAATTGAATTCTTGATTTATTATAACGACCTACGTCTCAAGGCCACAAGGTCACAAATGAGGCTGAGACCTGCAGTTATACGACAAGACAGAAGCGATGTCATGTACATAACACCTTAGTTCAATCATGGCATTATTCAGCAACAGATAGAAGCAATATTAGTAGAAACATCATGTATACACATGTATCAGACCACATGACCTTTGAACTTAAATTTCAAAGACCATGAAAAAATCGGTTGATAAAAAGAAAACCCTATTTATTTATAAACCTTAACCAACATCATAAAATCATTAACAACGACCGAACTTACATATCATAAGCCCCATTTACATCAGACCATGATTAGACCACATACATCCATACACATACAATCGGAGATATATTTTTACACCGATTCTATTGCTGTTCTTAGATTGTAAAAGTGCTCACACCTTCTGTTTAGAGATTCTAAAAGTTTTTTTGTATCCATCCACCCCGTTTCATATGCACAATATTATACAAAGTTAGTGAAATTCAAAGATCAAGCAATAATTACTAAAAAAATCAGAGAAATTAAGCATTATTAAACAGAAATTGAGCATTGCAACGGGTAGGGATCAATATGGTCATTAAAAGATTACAAAAATCCAATCTTTACCAGATAAAAATCAGCATCTAAACCTAAACCCACAGATAAACCCAAAATTGCATCCAAACCCTAATCCTAAATTTAGCACACTTGAGATCCCAATCATCAAAATATTCAAGAAACCAAACAAAAGGTATCAAATTCAGGTCCCAAAAAACACAAAAATCCATCAACCACCCAATTCAACAAGGATCCAACCAGATCAAACCCAAAAACTGATCAGATCAACATAAATTAAATAACTGAAAATTCCAAAAAATGAGACGCGCAAAGAAATTGAGGATTTACAAAGATTAATGATTTGATTTCGTCCTTGAATTTGGGGCTGTGGGTTGAGAGAGAGAGAGAGAGATTGCGTGAAGGAATTGCTTGAGATTTTGGATCGAAATTTGATGAGGAAACGGCAGATGAAATTAGGGTTTTTATAATGCGTTTGGGAAGATGGAGGAGGGTAAGCACTAACCAGCGTCTCTTGCAACCGCCATCATGGAACATGGATGGAGCGGTCTAGCCTACTTCCACTTCCTGTTGATACACGTGGCGGCAATCGGGTGGATATGGGACCCACTGGCAGGTCCATTCGGTCTTGCGTTTTGATCCTCCATCTAGAAACGTTTTTGCATTGATTACACGTTTAATTCCCGGGATTATAGTCTTTGAAACACTAATAATATTCGATTAAATGGATTGTGTTTCAAGAATGGTTTGTGTAATTTAGTCCATGCAAGCAACTTAAAATGGGTATATTGACCAAAAACAATGGAACCTAATTGTAATTTTATTCATATCTCGAGACGTATAAACATATTGAAAATTCATTTTTTAAATGATAACTTATATCTATAAAATGCGAGAAGAGTTAAAACCTAAATAATGACACTGCTAATTACTTGTTTGTTCTGCGGGTGGTAATCTTTCATTTGCTGCTTACATGGTGGTTCTTATTTATAGGACGTTATTGGTCCTGATTTTCTATTTAATATTCTTGCTGAATATGCAAACATTGTTATCTTTTGGCAACATAAAAATACGTTATGCCCCCTTTCATAATTATAACTAAATTTGTTATCATGAAAAACTTCTTCATGATATCTCCTTCATCTTCAACTAGGTTTCTTTATTTGTTGTGTTATGGAGACAATGTCAAATTCTAAAATATTTTGTTTAACATAATTAGCGTGTGACATAGATTTGTTTGAGTACTAACCCTAGTGCACCAAAATACTTAAGCACAAATATAGCGATTTCGAGAATAACATGTGACCACTCATCTTTTAATTCTTTGGCCAAATTTTAAAATAATAACAAATATATTAATCACATATTTGGATGACGAAAGAAAAACAAATTTCCTATTAGATCAAATTAAACAATAATTTTATTGAATCCGTAAGTTTAATAATTATATGTGAAAGTCATACGATTCATGCTAATTCCACCATCTTTTTCACATTTTGGACACTATTATTTGTTTACCCAATATGTAGATTTAATATATTATTATATGTTGATCTGTGGAATCATTTTATTTTAATATAAGACAAATAGAAAAAAAATGAGCAAGAAATTCGTAATTGAGTCGGTTAAGAATATATGTTTATGCATCTAAGGCTCTAGATTTGATAATAATATACTCTTAGTTTTCCTCTAATTTTATCTTTTCAAATTTTGGTTTGTATTGAGCTCTAAGAATTTTTTTAAACGTGATAATTTACTTTGAACTATCAAATTTATCATATTTTTATGGTAATTTGCCTCACCTCAATGTCGAAACTTGCCCTTAGTTGTAACGAAAAAATTCACCAATTTTGACAATTGGTTAAAAAATGGAGAAGATTGCAACATCTTTAAAGATTAGGCTTGAGAAATTTATTTCATGTAATCATAACAAAAATGGGTATGAAAAGATTTACCACAGTAATAGAAATGTGTTGAACTCTTGCACGACGACGTAGATTCAAATACTTCAGTGACTAATTTAATATCTAATATAACAAAATTTATCGTTTAATAAAAAAAAAACAAACGGTAAACTATATGTTATAATATGTTGTGTACCAACTTGTATTGCGACCACACTGAAAAATCTATTCTTCCAACCAAATTCAAATGTTGAGAAGAAAGGAAAGAAATATTAAAAAGTCGTCAAGGGTAGGTTGGACTTTGCAAATCACACTAACAAAGTCTCGAGTCCAACTTCCGATCTCACTCTCTGACAGACCAAAGATTGCCGCCAACTCGTTCGCTACCGCAGACAAAAGCTCCCTCCGCTTCCAATGGCCGCCAACAATCCTTCGCAGCTACTCCCATCAGGTTTTGACCACTTCGTTCCCCTTTCTACTTTCCCGTATTTTCTCGAGAAAATTAAACGGAAAATTTGAGGTGTTTTCTTGGAAAATGCGCAGAGTTGATCGACCGGTGCATAGGCTCGAAGATATGGGTGATAATGAAGGGAGACAAGGAGCTCGTGGGGACTCTGAGGGGTTTCGATGTCTACGTCAACATGGTACTCGAAGACGTCACCGAATAGTATGAATTTCCCCTTTAATTCTGTTCTTATGAAACCCTAAAAATTTGGGGGATTTTTATCTCGATTTTGGTACAAGATTGAGTCTTTTGTTTTTTAAATGCTTTAACTGTTTGATTAATTGATGGGAAGATTAGATAAAGGAGAAGGGAGTACAAAGTTATGAATTGGGTCTAATTTGGATATGGGATTTTAGTGAGGCAGAGGCAATTTTTACTGGCTTGGAAAATCTGAATTGTCTTTGTTAGTATTTATGTTAGAAAATTGTTCATGGTAAGCAGTTGATTGGAAGTCCGAATCAAGCTCTTACAAGTAACAGTCGGTACAGATTATTGAACTCTAATAATCTGTTAGTACAATGTCAAGCACTCCAATACTCCAATTACTTGTATATTTTAATGTCGAAGTATGCAGGACAGCGTCTAGAGCTTCGAGTCTTGGTTATATACAATGGGAATTAAGGTTTTTAATTTTGAAGGTTAATTTTGATCGGTGGTAAAGCACATTGTGAATAGTCGAATACAACCTTTTATTGTATATCTTTATTTTCTTATGATTTTTTCTTGTCTGGATGCCAAAATACTTGAATTTGGCTTTTATATGGAACAGTTGATACATCGATTTATACTAGATTGAGAAATCTGGCAAAGTCATGGAATTGCTTAAGCTTAGTTATAGGGCATTTCTTAATTAAACATTATGTTGAATACAAGTTGTTTTCATAAGGTAGATGGTGTTCTAATGCGAAGCTTCTATAGCAACAGTGGTTTTACATGGGCACATTACGTGATGTGTAAAATTGTAACTAAAAGTGTAATATTTGAAGAAACTAAGCAATAAAAAGGCACTTATTCCTCCTCCAGCCTCCTGTTTTCTGCGCATTCTACCTTTTGCATCTCGCTTATTTTTCATTGGTCATATCAAACGTACTGTAGTGTTTTGGGATCAAAAGAGAAATCGGACTAGGATATATCCGGCATACAGCGTATTTGAATTAGTAGTTAGTTTATGTTAGTCATTAGTTATGTTCATTCACTCTATTTGCTATATATGGTTGTGATCTGTTATGCTGCTAATATTCAGGGCCTTTGTTATTTTGTTTGGATGTGCAGTGAGATTACTCCTGAAGGAAGACGTATAACCAAGCTTGATCAGATTTTACTCAACGGAAACAATATTGCCATTGTAAGTTAAACATGGGTGGTCTTTATTTGCCTGGATGAAATAATTGAATTTCCGGTGAATATGCAAGTGATTGTTAGGTTTTCTTTGTCAAGTATAGTACTACACTTTTTGTAGCCTTTTTCTTTTCTCGTGTTATATTTGACAACCTACTCTTGTAACTATTTCTGCAAGCTCATGGTTTCTACTTGGCCTTTTCAATAGAAGCTAGAGCCAGCATAAAACATAGATGAAAGATGTTCAAACTATTGTTATAAATTGTCTAATGGTTTGTGCACAATGCAGCTGGTCCCTGGCGGCTCACCTGAAGCGGAATGAGAGGGAACTCCACACTCCGTTATTGAATGTTTGCATTACCCATGGTTCAGGGGAGATCGTTTCTCTTTTTCATCGAGAACCGGGCCCCCTTAGTTGCCCTCTATTTGCCCCACCCAGCACTCGTTGTTCTTGGTAGGTGACATGGTTGTAGGATATGTTAATGATATGGTGGATTATGTTTCTTCTAATCTGGAGTGGTATTGATTTTCCGAATACATTGACACAAGCCGGGCTTTATTATTTATTGTTCACATATGTAATGGGACTCCAGTAACATTTTGCAATTGATGCAACAATTCCATTGCATTGTTTCCTCAAATGCCTTTTTCCTCTGATTCATATATACAGTTAGATAAATTTCAACGATCATTTCGGCCCTAGAAGAAAACAGGTCAGTGGGATACTACACCGCGCGCGCACCAATTCTTTTTGTGCCTAAAAAGCCTCTAGTGCAGCTGCTAGTGCAAAAGTTTCATAATCCAAACGAGTACCACACTCATCCCACCTTTTCAGCCTTCTGTTTCTCTGCCTTTGTTTCCCAATTACGCACTTTTTGCATTGGCTTGGAGGTAGCAAAAACTCTGCCGATTTTTAGATAGCCAAAATTGGTGCTTTCTCAGTGTATCGCTTTCTTGTTTAGATATCCAAATGTGATGCTCTCTCAAGGTCCCCACCCCTTTCCCTTTTTTTCCACTTCTCTCGACGGTGCTGCTCCGTCGGTCCAAATACCACATCTGTTCACTTTTGCATACAAGAGACGTCTGTTCAGATAGTGCTTCAACTTCACGTTGTCAGTTTGTTTATTATTCATTAAAATAAGTCGAACTGAATCGAAACCAAATTATTGGGTCCTCTTTGTAATTTCAAGTTTATTTGGTTGTTAAAAAGCAAAAATAAATTGTCAAAATTCATGAAATACAAAGCCCAGACAAACAACTAACTAGAAAGAGGCTACGAATCTAATTACAAAATATATATATATATATATATATATATATATTTTATTTTTGTCAACGCAACTTTTCATGCAATACAAAGCCCAAACAAACAACTAACTAGAAAGAGGCTCTACAGTAATTAAAATTAGAAAACAGGTCAATCCATTCTTTTAAGATTAATAAACTCGTAAAATTAAAGACGGGTTGTTACATAATAATAATAATAATAAATTATTATAAAAAAAAGAAAGCAGAAAACCAAAAGATTTCAAACAAGAATTAAATATTAATCACCATATAGCATTCTTCTTTAAGTATCAATTCCCAAATAAATTACACCAAGGAAGTACAACAACATTATAAGGAAGAATGACATGCAAATGACATTTAAACCCCTAATGCACGCAATAGCTAGATGTAAAAAGGCTAAAATGGTGTCCGCATTAGTACAAGCCATGGTGGGGTTTGGGTAAACGTCAACTGATGCTGATCATC